ACAGAGCAGAGAAGGGAAACTAGAATTGAGCGGAGCTGGACGGCAAGGGCCAGGCTAACTCTGAGCATGACATCACAGAAGRTGCATAACAGTATTTTTGAGGTTTGACCAAAATGGCTACAACATAAGATTGACTTAGCCTAAAAATTAAGCGTTCATTTCTTCAAGGAAGCTTTAAATTCAAAGAAAGTCCATTTGAAAATAGATTCAAATTTGTGTTTTGTTTTGGACTAGYGAGCTGTCCAGGGTGTACCCCGCCCCTCTGTGACTGCTGGATATGAGCACCAGTGACCCTGAAAGGAAGAAGTGTGTTAAGATAATGGATGGATGTTTTGTTTTGAGGGGAAAAGAAAGAATCTTTAATCTCAGCAACTGCGGGTGGTCTAAGTTGTGAAGTAGTGATCATGTCAGTCCTCGTGTCCTTGACCTGGGGTCTCCATCTCTGGTTTTGGTCTTGGTCCTCTTTGCTCTGCAGGTTTGTTTCGACTTAAAGCCAGCATTTAAAACAGGAACAGCAGCAGTCTGCTACCGGCTCCGTCTTCCTGCCTGTTTGACGCTTCAGTCGGCAGCTAGCAGCCTGATTACAGCCGGCTTTATGGGCTCAGCTCGAACAGATGGCGTGCAGATAGCCTGCCGGCGCTCATTTCACCCACCACACGTCCAGGGTTTATCACAGTTAAACACACAAAACAACACATTCTTTATTCCAAACATAAAGGTTTTTTTAGTGTGAATATTAAAAACACATGCAAATCGACAAATTCTTGCAGCTTTATTGACGCCATCTATGGCGTTTTACTTCTCCTTTGTCTCCATGCACTGTTAAAAAAAGGCACAAATGGCTGTTTTTGAGAGTGAAATAAAGCTTTTGACACATATTCCACTGATAAACAAGTTTTAGATGAGCTGGCAGCTGCATTTTGTAGTGTGGGTCTTAAAAAAGATGGATGGATGCAACTATGTGAAGTTTTTCAGACATGATTGCATAGCACAGGGCTGTTCAACTGGCGGCCCGCAGGCCTGACTGTAGTCCTTCGGCCCACGGATGAGTTACTTGAAGAAAATATTTATATTGTACTTTATTGAATATAAAAATTAATCTATTCCATTATTTAGAGTTATGATTTAATGCAGCAAAATAAACAAATTTAAAAGTTAAATGGAAAATACTTGTTCTTTTACACACCGTAATGTAGTGTTTCCTTAAAGGCCCTGTCACACTGGACAATCTATGCCAACTTAAGAATATTTTAAAGACCTCTACGTTTAACATGGAATTGAAAAAATCAACAGGGAGCTTCTTTTCGGTGTGTACATAATGGAATTCAAACAAATTCATCAAATATTTAACTTTTATTAGCAATTTAGACATAAAAAATGTTTCATAAGTTGTCATAAGTTGTCCAATGTGACAGGGCCTTACCACAAGGTGTCACACTTATTTTCACTGAGGGCTGCATGAGCATTATAGTTGCCTTCAAAGGGTCCGTTGTGTTTAACTTCAACTAAAAAGGAAACGTCACATTCCTCGTCTCATTGCTACGACTGAGCACTGCTAACAAACAGTAATTGAGCTCTGCGTGGTATTTCCTGCTCAGAAACAGTGTTTAACCCATCCATTCATCCATCCATCCATTTTCTGTACACGCTTCTTCCTTTTCAGGGTTGTGTGGGTCACTGGTGCCCATATCCAGCAGTCACAATGCGAAACAGTGTTTAACCCATTCTCTTATAAAGTACTACGTGTACGACTAACTGAATATGAAATAAATAATACAGAAATACTATTAAAAATAAAAGTCACTGTCAGCTCTCTGTTGAGTTGTGGTGAGTAACCTCCATCTTGAATTTTAAACTCTCCCAGTGTCCGACAGGGAATTCCCCTGAAGAGCCTTTCCGATTTAAATTCATGATTTGTAAGTGGGAAATTCCCACTTCCCAGTAGAACYGGGCTGCAGCTGAAGGTCTGAAACTGAAAGTACACTTAAGCCCTCTGCATGGACCATTKGATCCTAAAAAAAWACRCTCTGTGAYGTATGTGTTTGAYGAAAATTGCATAATTTTGTTTTCARCTTTTTGTCGYTCTCCCCTTCCATGAAATTTGTACCCACCACAGCTTGCAAAAGTATTGTGTGTTTGGTCAAAAACTCATGGGTGTGTTTGTGTATACAGAAACATGTTATATCAATGTTAATTCGCTCCAACTACGCTGATTCCAAAAGCAGGCTGACATATATACACARTTAAATTGTATAAAACCCATGGATGGAGATAATAGCGCCTGGCATTGTCCTCGGAGGAGGCAGTCTTCTTGGAAAGTGTGACCCTCTCTTCATGRTAGATTTGTGAAGTGGGGACTTGGGTGGGACACCTGTTCTGGCACTTTGGGATGGGCTGATGCAATCCAGTATCTGTATCCAACATAATTAATGGATCTGAATTTTCCGATCAACGTGGGGAGATTTCCGATCTGTGAACCGTGTCTGTGCTATATAATATTGCTCCAGAACTGAGTTCTGGCCGGCTGCTCTGCTAGCTGTCTGCAAACCGTGGAGTGGATTTGCTGAACGGAGGCGAGTCTCAATGACACACAGAGTAAAGAGACACCTGCGTTCAGGAAATCCATTCCCCAGTTTGCAGTCAGGTAGCAGGCGAGCAGCTCTGTGGCTAAACCAACATGACTTCATGTGTTTAACAGTAGAAACTTCGAACTGTTCACCACATTTTACATTGTGTTGGCAAGACAAGTGAAACCAGAGTAATGATAATGACGATCATCCTTTAGAAACGCATTGTGACCGTACGTTGATTCGTCAGCTTCCGATCGATCGACCACGCTGGGCTGTTTCACAAAACCRAGCCTCACTTGTTTTTTCACTACAKCAGTGYCACGTCTACAACAGGCTACTTTTGGGTTCATCTGATTCAAGATGAATGCTACTGTTTATCAATCAYAGCAAACACAAAAATGACTTAACCTCTGTCATTTTTGTAGATGTTGAGATAAAATCTCAGGTGGTAGTAGCTGAAAGTCTTCATCAACATGCACTCTGAGCTTAAACAGACCAGGTGTAATCTTTGTTTAAAGCTTTGCATCGAATGCAACAAATGATCTACACTCCAGGACATGCTACTTGGATTGTGGATGTCCTGTGAATCATTTTTTATGAACCAAGACTCTTTGAGACAGGAATAAAAAAGGAGGGTTGTGATTTTCCCATAATTCCCACCTGGTATTTGATACTTCTTCTGGTGCTCCTAAATGTGACTTTTATCTCATCATTCCTGTTCACAATCATCGCTAGTTCCAGCTTTGCCTGATAGACTACAAATGATGGTTTTATTTTTAGATCTCGTGTGGCTCTCATTCAAACAATAAATTGCCAAAGAAATGTATTTTGATGCGCTCCCTTTGTTTTTTTTCTTTTTTTTTATGCAGTGTATGCAGCAGATTAGGCCTTGACGCTCAAAGTTGCTCGCTCCGTGTTTTGCTGCTGCGATTGCACTTAACTCGTGCAGCGGACTCGCTCCGAAACGGGGAGGAGAGCGGCGCTTTGCTTGAAAGCGTTTCCTGCTATGTGAATAAAACAGGTGTTGGGATTCAGTCCAAAAAAAGAAAACCAAGGGGAAAAAAACACATCCTTTTTCATTCTCCCTTGCTTGGTGGGTGAGTTTGTGTGGGCACACGTATAGAAGGTTCATAAAAAGAAAATGACAGATGAAGGGATGCAGCGATCCATTTCCTACGACCCAGATCCCATTTCTGATGGTTTCTGCTGGACCTCAGAGTCTGTTCATCACTTTAAAGCTGCTGACGACTCCGGCATCCCATCATTTCAGACATCAAAATGTGATCTGACCCAGAGGTTCGTTGGCAGCTCACAAACAGAAATATCTGTCTTTGTGTTAAGACGTCATTCGGGGAAAAAAATCCCTACTGCTAAATTACTATGCTGTTTGACCATACTTCAATTTATAAACAATTTAAAATCTATCACTTGTTTTCTTGCAAAGTTGTTCCCAAAAATTGTGCATGATCTGTTCAGGCTCAAAGTATTTGTTGAGGATGATTCTCAGCTGCTACCATGCCAATTATTAGATCAATACCTGCTAAACTGACCAGATTCTATCCATTCATGTGTTTGTTAAATTTGATTAGCTGTGGCGGCCATCTTGAATTGATTCAACTTCAAAAGTTAATCAATTGTAGATGAATATTTAATTATGACCTTCTGAGAGTTTCATCAACATCCATGCAGTGGTTCCTGAGATATTTTGCTAACAGACAGAGGCAATTTCACAATGAAATAAATTGTTCTTATTTACAATGCATTTTTTTTACAACAGAGGGACTCAGATTCTGTGCACTTTGTTTAAATCAACAAATTCAAAAAATGTGTAAAATTGTTGAAATAACAACAAAATGACTCAAAAGCTCTTAATTGGTGTAAAATATGAGGAAATGGCTGCACAAATTGTAAACGCCATCATGAGAGCAAGATAAAGACTAAACAGGTTTGAGGCGTTATGAACAAACACTCAGTGATTAAAAGAAACTGACAGACACAACAACTTAAAAAGCAACAAAATGATTGGAATCAGCCATGATATGACTCAAATATACTCAATATGACTCAAAAATGGCTACTAAAGAAAAGCAAAACTCATAATTATAATAAGAGGGGAAAAATATGTTCAAACATATACAAATAAATGTRAGCAACTRAAACTCTGAACATGTCAGCAGCCAYCTGTGTCTCCTTTAGTTTTTCTCTTCTGGCCGAGGCTGTGGAGGCGTTTTACAGCTGTGTGCCGGTGGGAGACATTTACTTGTCCTTCATCATAAAGTCTGTTTGGTTGAGCCTCCTGTGCACTCAGAAGCCCTCTCGTCTCTCTTGGCTCTCGTTACGAGTTCTAATTGCTGTGTGTGAAATAAAAGTTCTTATTTGTGTTTGATCTAATTGTGTATTTAACAGAATGATGTGTGTTTGTGTGTGCAGGATGGAAGAGACGGTGCGGTCCCTGCTGCAGAATCAGGGCGTCCTGGAGCAAACTGCTGTGGACACAGTGGACATCATGAAGGCCTATAAGGTAACACTCCTGTCTGAATTTATTCCTTTAGTTAATAAAGTTCAAAAAGCACTACTGAAGCACGGTGATGGCAGTATCATGATGTGGGAATGTTTGCCATCAGCAGGGACTGGGAGGCTGGCCAGAAGGAACAAAATGGAACAAACATGATATGTGACCCAATTTGGAAAAACAGTTTGCAATGAGCTAAGAGCAAAAAAATTTCTACAGACTAGAACTAGCTAATTACAACAAAAGAGCTAGCTGAAAGTAGCATAGACCTAGCTAAATGTAGCTGAGGACATAGCTGAAAGTAGCACAAGATCTAGCTGAACGTAGCAAATGACATAGCTGAAAGTGGAAGAGACCTAATTGAAAGTAGCAGATACATAGCTGAAAGTAGCAGAAGACATAGCTGAAAGTAGCAGAAGACATAGCTGAAAGTAGCAGAAGACCTAGCTGAAAGTAGCAGAAGACCTAGCTGAAAGTAGCAGAAGATCTAGCTGAATGTAGCACAAGATCTAGCTGAATGTAGCAAATGACATAGCTGAAAGTAGCAGAGACCTAGCTGAAAGTAGTATAGACCTAGCTAAATGTAGCTGAGGACATAGCTGAAAGTAGCAGAAGACCTAGCTGAATGTAGCAGAAGACCTAGCTGAATGTAGCAGAAGACCTAGCTGAATGTAGCAGAAGACCTAGCTGAATGTAGCAGATACATAGCTAAAAGAAGCAGAAGATCTAGCTGAATGTAGCCAATGGCATAGCTGAAAGTAGCAGATACATAGCTAAAAGAAGCAGAAGACATACAGAAGACCTAGCTGAAAGTAGCAGAAGACCTAGCTGAAAGTAGCAGAAGACCTAGCTGAAAGTAGCAGAAGACCTAACTGAAAGTAGCAGAAGACCTAGCTGAAAGTAGCAGAGACCTAGCTGAAAGTAGCAGAGACCTAACTGAAAGTAGCAGAAGACCTAGCTGAAAGTAGCAGAGACCTAGCTGAAAGTA